CACACACACACACACACACACACACACACAGACATGCCCACAAATAGAATTCAATTTAACATGTATTTATTAAAGGACTATATTTCGCATGATGATATATGTTGAGTTCAATAATGAGGAAGCAATGATTTACCATAGGCATAGCAACAACTTTAAGGAGTGGACATTTTCCTTCATTAATTTAGTATGCCTACTATCACGTAAGCTAGCTATCTAGCACAGGAAAATTTTTATGGTAGATGGAGAATATCTAGAAAATTCAGATAAATGAAGGGTATTCTTTTGATATAGCAATGGGGGCCAAAATTCATGCTAATTAATGCGTAGACTATTGAATAAATGTTTCTCATTAGAAGGCTTGTCTTACATGTTAGATTTGCAGCAAAGATGGAATTTCTTTGCCACAGATTATTTCCTCTAAGGTTTAGTTTCTAATTTTTCTCTCCCCAGCATACTTCATTTCTTTCCATTTTCTATGATATTGCTCTTATCTGACCACCTATCTTATCGCTTCCACTCTCCATGATGTAAGTAGCAAGCTGTACAGAAACTGGTATACGATGGCCCTACCTTTTCTCATAAAAGGAGACACAGAATGGTCCATCCCCTCCTTTGTCACAGTGGTATAATTTGCACTAGGGTTCTGTTTCATCACATCAAAAGAGCTGTGATAGAGAATTTTATTCACAATTTCTTCTGGCATGTCTTTCTCTAGAAACTTTAACAGCTTCTGAATTCCATACTTTGGGTTCTAAATAAATTAAAGAGAAAAAGAATCATTTCAGGTAGATTTAGTCATGAAGCAGGGAATGCTCTTACCAAGGTCCTACACATGCCGAAGTAATGAAGAAAATAATTTTAGATTTTTATGTGCATTTTTAGTTTTACTTTCCCAAGTACATAGTTTACCTTTCATTATACTAGGCAACCATCTTCTCAGAAGGGAGATTAAAATTTGTTTCAAAAATACAAATAAAAAGATTAGATTAATATTCAATCTTTCACATTCAAAAAAAGAATTAACTTACAGAATAACAGATGATAATAGCTTGTATTATCATTAAGTATAATTTTCAAAATCCTTTGATCTCTTTTTCCTGTTTTAGCATATCTAACATCAGGAATGAATTACCTATGGCAAGACTTCTCTCACAGGGGAAAGAAGATTCTCTTTCTGCTTCTCATACTTACATAGACTTTTTGATAGCATGAGTATATAAGGAGAAAAGTCAAATAAAACCTTGTGCATTTTTCAACCTAAGGATGGTGGGAAGAATAAAGGCAATGATGAATAGAGATTCATTTGATGTATTTCTTGGAAGGCAGCTACACTCATCACTATATCACCAATGCAATTTGAGGTATTTCTTGTGCTTTTCCTTTTCTGTTGTTCACACTAGACACAGGAAGACATATTAGATACAATGAAATAATGGCATTCAAGCCAAAGAGTTTGTCCTCTGCTACTCATCAGGGAGGTGTTCTTCTCAGAGGTCCAAACCAAACTGAGGCAGAATCATAATCTTAATGACCTGGCGATATCAGGCAGAAAGACAACCTGAGATTTAGCTTTCTTGAGTGATTCAACTCACTTTATTGAAACGGAACAAGAAAGTTACTGTGGTGGCCCTAAAATAATCTATTTCTTATAGTCACAGAGCTGAATTTGGTGAAAATTATACACAAATCTTAATTTGTGGAAGAATCACAATGAAAGTTGAATTCACAGTTGTGCCAAATCTGTCGCATGAAAGTTAAACGGAAGACTGATGAAGAAAGGGTGGAATGCTCAAGCTCAGAGTGAGAATATTCATGGTGGATCTGATGACACAAAGAATTACGGACCCATGAGTAATTCTGCACCTTCTTTCCCAGAAGATGTAAATTTCCTTCCCATATTCAAGAAAACTAAACTTCCCTTGCTTTAAGACTTTATGGCGACCTAATGTAGGAAAGTTTTCTTTCAAATTATGCTTATCCTCTGAAAGACTCACATCCAAACACTTTTTTTTTTTTTTTTTGCTTCTAGACCCATAGCTAGAGTAATATTTCCCCTTAATTCAGAGTGACAAGTGCAAAGTGGTTTAAACAGGGTGCAGAAGAAGCTAAGAAGTTAACTAAGGAACTTGAGAGAGGTAATTACCTTAGCTGAGTGAGGTGGTTTCCCTTGAGATGTAGAACAGATTTCCTAAATTAGAGATGAATGGGAATCATGGCCATCTTTAAGAAATTCAGAGAAACCTAAGCGACCAAAATGAGGCTAAGTCAGGACTGTGGGGTCCTAAGAAAATTCAGGCCGGTAAACCAGAGTAACAACAGTTTTACTTGTTACAGGCTTTAGTTTTGAATGCCGATATGGCTCACAAAATCCGGATGTTAAAGACTTGAAAGAAAAGGCTACACTGAAGTCAGTGGGGAATTTTTTTTTCAGGTAGACTCACTCAGTGAGAAAGAGAAAGGTGGCACAGGAACAAGATGGAGAAATAGACAAGGACTAAATAATGCCAAGCTCTATGAATTAGCTTAATTATTTTAATCACATGTAGAACAAGAAGCCATTGAGAGATTTTAAGAAGGAAGTGAATACACTGTGATTAAGATTTTAGAAAGATCATTCTCTCTAGGTGGATAACAGAAGCAAGATGAGATACTCTAAAAAAGTTGAGATAGATGCATGAATCGAGTGGGAGGCAGTAGTACTAGAAAGAAGTAGATGGGTACAAGATCTATTTTCAAGGCACAATTGATAGAATAATAGATTAGCCATAATTATAGACCAAGAGGAAAGGAAAGTATGATACATAGAAGATGAATCTTAGGTTTCCTTCAAAAATAAAGAAGAAATTGCAGTTTCCTCTTACCTCTTTCATGTCTTCATAAAATAGGTAAAGGATACGATAATCTTTCTTCTTCTCCCACCAGCCCTTCACATGGTCATACCAAGAACCAAAAGCCACTAAATTGAAAGATAAATGTTTGCAAAATAAAGAGTGGCTAAATGTTATTAATCATTATCAATACATACAAGTAATCATTATCAATACATACACACTGATTAACTATTAGTTCAAGAAAGAGGAAAGCTAAAGGTAAGAGAAGTATATGACATAACCCTGTTCTCAGTGAATTTAAAATCTACTTGGAAAGGACAAAATAATTTTGTAATAAGTTGAATTCTGTTATCCTAAAATTCATATGTTGAAGTCCTAACCCCCAATACTTCAGAATGTGACTGTATTTGGAGATAGGGTCTTCAAATAGGTAATTAGGTTAAAATTAGGTCATTAGAGTAGACCCTGATCAATATGATCGATATTTCTATAAGAAGAGGAAATTAGGACACACACACACAGACCATTTAAAGATATAGAGAAAAGACAGTTATCTACAAGCTAAGAAGAAAGGACTCAGAAAAAACTAATCCTGAGGACATCTTAATCTTGGACTTCTAGCCTCCAGAACTGTGAGAAAATAAATTTCTGCCGTTTAAGGCAGCCAGTCTATGATATTTTGTTATGACAACCCCAATAAACTGATACAACTTCTAATAAATAAAACTAAAACTACAAGAGCAAGGTGACAGATACTGAGTAATGCAGACAATAAGTGACATGGAAGTTCACAGGCCAGAATGAGAGAATAAGAGAGAATTATAGGAACAGAGAAATTCAGAAAGGGCTCTGGAGGAAGTAGAATGCATTTGAATCTAAAAAAGAAGAGTTGGGATTTGATGATGAAAATGAGGATGACATTCTATGAAAAAAAAAAAAATAGTCCAAGCAATGACAGGGGTAAATCTATGCAAGATACCATTGAGATATATTTGCCTCAAAGAGAGAGTTTGTGTAGGAGAGTATCTGAGAATTATAAGTAGAGTTAGTATCATGGATGTAAATATGTTTCCCTGAAGAAGATAATACACAGGTAGAAGAACAGAGGAGAACAAAACTTTCACTCATATAATAAACGTGAAGAAACGGTAGATAAGAGAGAATTCAAGAATATGCATAAAATGAAAACAGTGCAATGGTGTGGGCAGTGAAAAAGGAAAGTGCTTAAATAAGTTGGCTTTAGTCACTAATCATTAATGAAATGATGAGACTAAGGACTCAGATATCTGTCACTTATTCCTTAAAAATCCTTTAAGAGAACAGATGACAATATATTCTGCTTCCTCTGTAGTCTTCCTAATGCATTACCAGAGAGCTAAGTACATAATTGGTTTATAACACAAGACTTACATTTAAACTTCATATCACCTTACAACAAAGAGTTTCCATTGTGGAACTCCATGATTAAAGGAAGAGTTGGACCCACCCTTTCCAGTCATGAATTTGTCCAGGAACTCTTCCCAAGTCCCAGGCTCGAGCTGCAGTTTTGCCATCTGGTAGAAATAATAGTAAGACACGGCCACATCTTTGGCATTCCGTGCCACATAGATCATCTATAGGGAGATATGGGAGATTAGCATTTTGTTTCTACAGTTTAATAATTTTTAAACTTCTGTTTACTTTGATAGAATACTTACTTTTTCTTTTCTGATTTTGGCATTTAAGTTTGTATCCTGACATAGGATAATCACAGCTGTATATGGTTTTAACACAAAGAATTCTCATCTCTCACACCTCTGTTTACTCTTTAGCCCTCCAAAAGAAGAACATCTCTCTCTCTCTTTTTTTTCTTTTGGTTTGAGGCAGGGTCTCAATAGCCTGTTGCCCAGGCTGGTCTGGAACTCTGGGGCTCCAGCAATCCTTCTGCCTCAGTCCCCTAGAACTTGGGATTACAGGTGTGTGCCACTACACTGGGCAAGAAGATCTCGTGAAACATGGAAAATCAAACATGAGAATTATAATAAGAGTTAAATTAATAAAAATTAATAATATTATCTTTAAATTTGGAATATTTTTCTGTATCACTTATTTAAATTAATAATAATGAAAAGGAGAAGGAAACTTTAAAGGATGAAAAAATGCCCAATTTTTCATTGAAAATAAATTCTTACTTGGATAAATTTACAGTCAGAAAAGATTAAACCTTCTTCATTCCGTCCAAGATCATGGCTACATAACAATCATTGCTGTTTGTTATGATTGATGTGAGATTAGAATTTCTTTTATGTATATATCCCTCAAATCTGCATGAAGGCAGAAATTTTGAACACAATTTCCCAATAGAAATGACATTGTTATGTCTCGTTGGTAATTAGGTTTTCAGACAAGTTCAGTGAAATCCATTAAGCCTACTTCTCCCATGAAGCACATCTAATACTTCTGAGGACTCAGCCACCCGTGCAGTAAATGTATTTCTAAGGGATAACGCATTCAGGAAGAAGCCTTCTTTAACCTTAGTAGGGTAAGAGCTTCCTTCTTCCCCAACTCATGGGCAAAGGAAATAGGAACTTTTATATTCCCAAGTTACTAGCAGTAGTTCTCATAGTCTGAGACAGGGATTCAGGTAAAAAGAGAGTGTCAGAAAACAATTTTTTTCAACAGCTTGCATATAGAGTTCTAAGAGTTAAGACTGTTGCTGACATAACTTCTTGAGAAAATACTAAACCTACAAACATTCCCAGTTACTTCTTACTGCAATACCAAGGGACTATGGTAATACATCATTTTCTTTATCTCTCCTCCTCTGCTGTAAATTTGTTGAGGTCTGCTTGCCTTGGTGTAAAAGAGAAGACTGTCCTGAAGATACCCTCCAGTTCTCCTAATAACAAGCCATGCATTTCTGGAGCTTCTGTAGATTTTCACTACTGCAATTAAGGAATAAAACACATCCCTACTTTCTTATCTCTCTTGTTTCTCATTAGACTTTGAAAGGTAAAAAAGAAATCACACATAAACACATGTATTTTGAAAAGACTTTTTGTATAATAATTATACAAATTATACAATTACACAAATATAATCATACAAAGACTTTTTGTATAATAAGGATGAAAGTACAATCAGTCAAATTTTCAAAGGAAAACATCTCTCGCTCATTCTTTTAAAGCCTACTCTAAACACCTTTCTCAAATCTAGAGATTTGGTGACTGCCTATTTCATTTTCACCACTTTGCATTTTACACATTGCATTTAGCCATTTGTAGAACTCTGACACATCCCTTGCTGTTTCACATCTCTTAGCCTATGCATATGCAGTTTCTTCTCTATGAAACATCTTGTATACCTGAAAATTCCCCTACTCTTTCTTCAGGATGCTGATCAATTTTTTTTTCATCAATGAGACCTTGCCACATATTAAGTAGGTGTAAAAGTAATTGCTGTTTCAGCATTGTTGAAATTTGCCCTTTGATATTGGAATACATTCTTAAATAAATGTGGTTACATTATACATCATTTTAATGCACATTTCTCGCTTTATCTTGTTTTTTTTTTGCTAATGACTTATTACTTGCTATTTATTTTATATTTATTTTAGACTATGGAAATGATGTTAGACAAAAAGCATATGTGAACAATTTTCTTAATCAAGTTCAAAATGGGTCATATAGCAGCAGAGACAACTTTCAACATCAACAACACATTTCGCCCAGGAACTGCTAACAAACGTACAGTGAATGGTGATTCAAGAAGCTTTGCAAAGGAGACCAGAGCCTTAAAGATGAGGAATGCAGTGGCCGGCCATTGGAAGTTAACGACCAATTGAGAGCCACCTCAAAGCTGAGCCTCTTACAACTACATGAGAAGTTACAAAGAACTCAATGGTGACCATTCTAAGGTCGTTCAGCATTTGAAGCAAATTGGAAAGGTGAAAAAGCTTGATAAGTGGGTGCCTCATGAGCTGACCAAAAATCCAAAAAATTGTTTTGAAGTGTCATCTTCTCTTACTGCGTGCAACAACAATGAACCATTTCTCAATTGGATTGTGACCTGCGACGAAAAGTGCGTTCTCTATGACAACTGCCGACGACCAGCTTAGTTGTCGGACCGAGAGGAAGCTCCAAAGCACTTTCCAAAGCCCAACTTGCACGAAAAAAAGGTCATGGTCACTGTTTGGTGGTCTGCTGCTGGTCTGATCCACGACAGATTTCTGAATTCCGGAGAAAAAATTACATCTGAGAAGTATGTTCATCAAATCAATGAGAGGCACTGAAAACTGCGATGTCTGCAGCCAGCACTGGTCAACAGAAAGGGCCCGATTCTCCACAGCAATGCCTGACTGCACGTCGCACAACCAACGCTTCAAAAGTTGAAAGAACTGGGCTACGAAGTTTGGCCTCATCTGCCATATTCACCTGACCTCTCACCAACCGACTATCACTTCTTCAAGCATCTCAACAACTTTTTGCAAGGAAAACACTGCCACAACCGGCAGGATGCAGAAAATGCTTTCCAAGAGTTCGTCAAATCCCAAAGCACAAAATTTTACACTATAGGAATAAGCAAACTTATTTCTCATTGGCAAAAATGTGTTGATTGTAATGGTTCTTATTTTGACTTAAAAAGATGTATTTGAGCCTAGTTATAATGATTTAAAATTCACAGTCTGAAACCGCAGTTACTTTTGCACCAACCTTCAGAGAATTTTTTTGATTTCATGTATTAGTACTTACCTGCTGATATGTAATTATTTTTCAAATGTATCTGTCTTTTTCCCACTGCTTGAGGTATTCTACAGGACTATATGCTACGTAGGATGCAAGGTGTATACTTAGGATTTAGGTACTTTTCTTCCTAAATGATAAACTTGAATAAAAGTGTTTATTAAAAAAGAAGCCTAAACTTAATCCCTAAATATATATAACTACATATAATTTATAACTTACAACCAATAATAAACCCATATTTGTAAATTATAATTATGTCGAACCATGAAGAAGCAGTTGTGGAATTATTTGAATATCTATCACATAGTTGACAGTGAATCGAAGGACTTAGAGAGTGACTGCCATCTTTGAGAGAACCTGACAGGTTCTTAATGCTTGGGCGCTGAGTGTCATCACTCCCCACAACATTGGGGTCCACTCGTGTTATTTTGATCCTTGGGATACGGGGGCCACTTTATTATTTTTGCAATGATTTATCCAGGGATTGTACTCCCTCATCTTGCATTTCTACATAATTGGTAAAAAAAATAAATAAAATTACAACACAAATAACAATTATTTTTCTTTAAAATTTGTACCTTGCAATCATTCTTCCAAAATGAAGAAGGGAGAAGTTGAACAGGTAGGTGTGTTTTCACCAATCTAGGAGACTGCAGGTTTTTCAACTGCTCAACACCTACAATCACAAAAATTTTAAAAATTACATTATAAATGTGGAATTATAATGGTCATTTACAATATATGCTAAACTTTCTATAAACCCTACTATATGGCTTGAAATGGTCATATGACTTCATATATTCTTAAAATCTACAATGAGATAAAAAAATGATAAGCTCTGTGTTAGACTGATTTTTGCCTATGTGAAACAGTAGACTATTGTCTTCGTAAGTGTCTATAAAATCCTCAGATGTATAACACTGTGATGAAGCAGAAACAGCAATAGGTCAAGAGTCAAGTTGTCCAGATTTTTCCTTCATTTATCTTCCTTTTTTCTTATTTTCTATATGAGAAAATTGTACTAGAGGATTTCAAAATCCCTTTCCATGTCTCCTATATTAAAATTCTAAGAAAAAATTACACCATGAGGCTCGTGACTATATTTTTTTAAAAAACTAATAATGCAAGCCCAAATATTCCCATAATCCTTTTCCTACACTTTGCAAATATCAGCTAACTAGCACTATATAAGAGTCTGTATTGAATAAAAAAGTGAATTTTCTCTACATAATGATCACTCAATATTTAAACCTGGAAGACTTCCGCCTTTCTTTTAAAGAAACGATATGCTACATAAAACCTTCTCTTATGCAGATATTATCCTTGGATGGAGGAAGAGTATAATGTAGGTATTGGTATAGCCAAATTCTGACTCTTCCATTATAGACACTTGTGATTTATTAATGACTGTCCAAGCTTCATCTGTATCATCTTCCATCATGACTCCTCTAAACATCACAAAAAGATTTATTCCCATATTGAAAAGAAATATTCAGAAAAAATACCACTTATGATTCCAGGAATTATAAGTTCTATGGTAGGCACTCGGTTGTATATGGCATCCCGTTTACATTTGTCTGCGTCCCCATTGTTATAGATCAAATCCAGTATTTCACTGATCCAGGTTGTTCCTAAGAGAGAAAAAAAATGGAAGAAACTCTAAACTTATGTGTCCAAAAGCATGTAAGAGGATAAATAGAGGTAGGTAAAGAAGTTGTATAACAATATCTAAAACAAAAATGTTCTCTTTATTTTTACTTCCTGTCTTTCTTCTTCCCTTACATAGAAGAGATCCTTATCTATCTTGAACATATACATATATATATTGTATACATGTAAGTTCTAATTAAAATGTCCTACAAATAAGACTCAAAAAGAGGAGTGAAGAAGGAAAATGAAAAGAACCTTGAGATTTCGTATGTGCTGACCAATGTGCCACTCACAAACAAAAGACAATAGATTCTGATTGACTAGCGTAGATCAAGCCACTGTGACCTTTAAGATAATCATGTCTCACCAGTCTTTTGAGAAATGAATCTAAAGCACTTGTTTATAGCATTCAATGACCAAGTTATAGAGGTACTGCTAAAAAATAATTATAAGACACGGGAAGAAAATATCTTCTTTACTGTTCCCATTTCCCTTCTTTTTACCAAAGGTGTAATGACAGTCTTTAAATTAAATTATAGTGGTGGTAACTAAAAAATTAAGTTAATGAATTAATCAGTTAATTAAGCCACTCACACAGCAATGTTTTTGAAGAGTGATCTACATGTGGATGCACATTTGAGTGGTTCCAGATACTAGAGTACTTTAGGGCTGCTTTTTCAGTCCTTTCTTGTGGTCAACTCTTTCTCTGCCTTGTCCCTAAATCATGAATACTTATATTAGGCAATCTCCCCTATCCTGCCATAGACGATTCTAGTATAAAAAAAAAAGGTGAGCCAAATCAATCTCAGCATCCTTGAAATTTTACCGTTTGATCTGGCTTAGGCTTACACAATAATTCATTACAAAAAAAAAAAAAAAAACTTAAACTTGACTTCCAAAGTACAATGTAACCCGTTTAATCTATCAGTGATCAGTTCACATTGTGGCCCATGAAGTCTGATTGAAAGAAATGCCAATTTAGCTATTTTGGATGCTTTGTATTGGAAAAGTTTGTTTTCCATGATTTTGGAAAAAGAAAAAAAGCACAAAGTTTAGCTCATATAAGGAGATAGTTAATTTGGATCTTTCTAACCAAATTAGCAAGGCATTGATATATTAATAAGTTTAAGACATGTTCACAACAGCTTGTAAAGGGAAAAACAAAAAAATCTCCCACAGAGCATGTGATCAAGCTATGTATAGCCATCTAGCTTTTACTATGTGAGAAAAAATTCAGCTTCAAAGAGTATATCTGTAGATGAACTATTTGTATAAAGATACCATTCAAAGATTTTTTTTTTAATTATTTATTTAATCAGGTAGTTACTTTTAGAGACAGTCTTTCTCTGTTGCCCAGGCTGGAGTGCAGTGGCATGATCACAGTTCACTACAGCCTCAAATTCTTGGGCTCAAGCCTTCCACCTCAGCCTCCCAAGTCCCAAGTAGCTAGGACCACAGGCACAAGTCACCATGCCTGTCTAATTTATTTTTATTTTTGATGACAGGGTCTCGCTATGTTACCTAGGCTGATCTCAAACATGTGGTCACAAATGATCCTCTCCCTCCTCAGCAGCCCGAGTAGCTGGCTGGGATTACATACAAGAGCCACCTTGTCTGGTGGACTCAAAGATTATCTAAATGCTTTTCTTCTTTTGAATATATCTAAAAAATAGCAATAACAAAAGAGCGTGTACATTCTCAGTGTCTGCCTTTCCTCCCTTCTCTAAGGATTTATCTCGACAAGGAAATACAAAGTGGTTTTGGTCCTAATTTGGGTTTGGTGAGCTATTAAGGAGAGCAATGCAAAGCAGTAAGGAAAAAAAAAGATGTTTTGCCAAGATGAGCTTATTTTTCTAATGTCTATAGAGGTCTTCATTGTGCATGTATTTGTTATTTCCTAGTAGGAACCCTTTGTTCTCATGCAGTGTTTACGATTTTGGTAGATTAGATTTCCCACATTCAGGACTTTAATCCCAGAACTTGTTAAATATTACTTTGAAATAATTTTGATATGTATAATCTAAAAGGAAGATCAGTAGTCAATATAGTTACTAAAAACTTCTTCCTTTAAGAAATGAGGTAGGCATATTAAGGAAAGTTGACTTTAGAGGGTTAGTAACTAGAACAGTTGGGCCCAAGTAATTTAATTGCATAAAAGGCGAGAGAGAGAGTCTCATTTGTGTGCACTCTCTTTGTACATTTATCATTGGGTAAATCAAAGACTCTGTCATAAACAGACCTGGAAAAATAAAAATTATTGATTCATTTCAAGCCCTCTTAAATTCTCCTTTCTGAGATTGCATACTGAGGTCAGCAGTTGTTTAAATATAAAAACAAAATATTTAAACATCAAAATGTACAGAAGATTTATATACATCCTAATATGCCCCAAATGTATATATTCTAGAATATATATAAATGTACCCAAATCACATATATCTGCAGTTTTGATCATTTTATTTGAATTTAAAAAGAAAAACAAGACAACAGCATTAATTTTTGTCTCAGATATATTCTGCGTTCAATTGCTAGCCTTTCAGAATAGAAAAAGAATTGGTCTAATTTAAGACAAAACTCTCCCGGCAACCACCAACAGTGTCCCCTTGACAACTGTTTAATGAATTCGGGTTAGACCTGACTAGTAAGCAGCAGATCAGCGGGTTTACATATATGACTCACTACCTAAGTATCTAGAACAACTGAATGAAAAGGGCTTACCAGATTTGGGATAGGTGGAGATCAGAAGATCATCTGGTTGGGCCTCAAGTGACTCTACCGTGGACCACTCCTCAGCTGTGCCCCAGAAGAGAGGAATACCCTGGACGTCCACTAACTCCCTCCTGAAGACATTCTGCATGTTGTCCATTTTGGGGAAACTAGATATGAAACAAAATGCAGCATTGATCAAATTTTAAAATAAGTGACTATTGTAACAGTATTGTCATTACTCAGATACACCAGCATCAGATTGTAATACTGTGTGTTACCTGCTGTTCATTTGTGACATAGCATTGGCACTTTTCATTTGTCAACTGAGGATTATGGCATTTGCTCAAGCAAAGTGTTTTTTTGAGAGATGTGATAAACCCACAGTTCAGCCCAGCTATCTCCTGTAACACAAAGAAAAAAAGACATTCCCCTGCCCCTCCCAACCACCTGCCTGAGGCAGGGATGTAGGTCTCAGTTCCCAGAAAGAGTGGGGGAAGTTTTGAAGAGACAGAAAACACCTTTTGTCATTTTTTTTCAGGCCATTCCCTCTGTTACATATTCCCCACTCTCAGTTTTACGCTTCCATATCTATGGGAGGAGGGGCTACTACTCTGTTATAATAAGTTTAGTGATATGTCAATCATCCGTCCTCCATGCTACTCCTGCCGCATGAAAACTTAACTGGTTTGCAATTCATCCCATTGGTTATAGGTTCTTTGTGCTTTAATATGACTCTTTATATAAAACTCATCTATGGTGATGAAGAAATTCTAGAAGACAAATATATATGTATATATGTATACGTATATACTCTCCCTGAAGAAAACAAACAAACAAAAAAAGGTCCTGGAGGAAGAAGTTTCTGGAAATTTCTTTAATATGTATTAAGTTCAATAATGTTTGCCAGATTCTAACCATCCTGCTTCACCCAGTGCAAACACATGTACTCCCATCCTTGCAGCTTGTGCAAAGTTTAACATTTATAGCAGACAAAATAAACAGCTTTCCCAACCATGTTTTCCTATGTTGAAAATACCAGAGAACAAAGGGCAAAGTGTACAAGTTCTTGGGTAGCTGCCAGTTTTCTGTGTTTTATTACAGTAGATTTTGTTGTTATTTTCATCACACTCATACATACTAATGTAAAGCATGCCGTCTTGATAGTAAAATTAATTCAAAAATATTTATTGAATACTATTATTTAATTTCTGGCAGACATTGTGAACTGGGACTTCTAATGATGAGATGAAAAAACTCATGCTTCTCTATCGCTGTGGTGCTTAGAAGCAAGTGGGTGAGAAACTGAACCATGTTGCAGCTCAGAGAGAGAGACCCCAAATACTGGTGCTTTGACATGCTGAGAGACCTTAGAAGCTGCCTCAGAATCAGGGTCCTTCTAACCTTTTCTCCCCATCAAGCACAGGAAGTGATTCCCTCTAGAATGTCCTTATCTGATCAAGAAAGCCTCTTTCCAAAAAAATGCAATTGTCTTAAACCCTGAGGATCTCACCAAATAATCCAGAAAGATCAACCACCAGAAAAGATAGAGACTGGAAGTCATTTCTATGCCTGAGATTATTAAGAGATTACCTGGGTGACTTAATCTGCAAAATAAGACAATCTTTTGTCCTCTGCAGCTCTACCTCTCACCTTCCTGTAATATCTGTCTCCCACCTCTCATTCATTCTCCCTAATAATTTACTGCCTGCCCCTCAAAAGAATTGTTTACATTCCCATCTCCCCTCTCCTCTGTGAAGAAAAGCATGGACAAGTTTCTATATGGCACCGAGTTACTGGATAATCATTCTCCCGGGATTCCCCCTTGTTATGCATGTTAAAATAAGATTTTGTATGCCTTTTCTCCTATTAATCTGCCTTTTGTCAATTGGTTTTCGGTGAACCTTCGGAGGGAAAAGGGGAAGTTTTCCCTTGGCCCCTACATCAACCATAGCAATCAACTGAAATTTTTCTATCATTATAAGTGCTGTGAAGCAAAGGCATATCAATAAAAATGGCAGCATTTACATAATAAATCTGCTTAGAAACATTTCCCCTGAGGAATGAGAAAGAGTTAACTTGCAGAAGAAAAGAAATTTCTAGCCATGGAATAGAGCCAGGGAATAGCACGTACAAAGACTATGATGGGAGAGAAAAATCAGACCCGTGTGCTTAGAGTGCAGAAAGAGAGGAAGTGAACATAATTGTTTGTCAGATTATGTGGTAAGAAACTAGAGAATTCAGGGTGCCAACCTTAACGAGAGTCAGAAAATCAATATTGAGTTTAGTTGAGCACAAAGCTTGAGTGAGGATGGCAACCCACAGTAGCAACCCAGGATGGCCACTGAGCAAACACAGCCCTCAAAGGAATGAGATCAGTGTTACCAAGTGGGGAAGTTAAGGCTTCACTTATATAGGAAGAAACAAACTTTAACAGTATTCAACATTTTTTATGCAAGGCCAGTATATATTTAATTTTGCTACAGCTTGCTACATTTCAAGGAAGATTGCATAAACAGTTCATGATATTAACAAAAGATCATGAAAACTTTGAAGGAAAAGGAAGAACTTTATTTTCTAAAACAAACAAACAAAAATCTGCAGATTGGGAAGACATAGCCTTCAGCACAAGTGAAAGTGTGCTCTCCAAAGAACAAAGGTAGGATCTGGCTTAAATGGAAGTTCTCATTCCAGTTTTTGATCAGGTCATTTGTTTTTGCAAATGAAGGATTCCAACTTGTTTAGCTCTGATTGGTTGAAATAGTTGAGCTCTGAGTGGTTTCCAGGACCCAAAGTCGCTGTCAGATGTTTATTTCAAACAGCCAATGGTAAGGGGGGTTCCAGCCACAGTTTATCTTGGCATTCTACAACAGGGACTGTTTTGGCTTGATTATAGAAAGATAAATCTTGTGACACTTTCATTACATCTTTTTGAGAGCACGGAGTACGTGACCTCTCCCTCACCTGTTCTGTTTTAACTGTAAGCACCTCAGTTTGGCACAGGGAGTCCATTTTGTCTGTCAGTCAGGGGCACACTTTAACAGCGAGGACAGGTAATGATCTGATACCATTCAATTGTTTCTGATCATTTATAGGAAAAAACAGAAGTTGCTGCTGCGTGCTACGTGACTCGAGCCACATTGTCATATTCCTCTCAAGACTCAAGATAATTTAAAGTTCCGACACCTTTAAGTTTGAATAATTTAATTTCACAAGGGTTCTATCTGGGCAAGTAAATTCAGGATATACTGGGTTTCTGGCTAGTCTCCACTGGAATGGGGTATCCACTGACCCACCCTTACACACACTTTCAACAGTTGCTCTCTCCTAAAATGAGAAGATGGTGATATGCAGCTGGTTCCAGGATATCCCTTGGCATCATTGAGAAGTATATAATTAAAGATATTCGTTTTGTTTATTTTTTTTTTCCGAAGCTCTTGGGATTTATAAATATCATACAAACAGGTAATATTAAGTTGATTCTTGTGTTTGTTATACCTTAAAAACAAATGTATGACAGCTCTGGGCTGTGATTCAATGACATTGGGACAGCAATACTTCCTGTTAATATTCACTAAATATTAACTAGATATCCAATATTCATGGATATCTGCTTGTGAAAAAAAAGTATATGAAAATGTAAAGTTTAAAATGTCCACAGTTAGAGGTTGTTTTGTCTCCTCTTTCTCTATAACAAGATATGGCATATTTATTAAATAAATATTTGCTAGGAAATACTGGGTTCCACACACTATTCCAGGTGCTGGTGATAGAGCAGGGGCTGGGACAGAGAAAATGCTGCAATTCACAACACTCTTTCCTCGTTCTAGGTACATGGGGAAAGACTGCAATTTTCAGCCCCCTTGCAGTTAAATTGGGAGCATATAACTGGGTTCTGGCGAGAGGGACGTAGGTGATGTAAAACAAACTCCTGATGGGCCAAAATAGGTCATAGTCCCACTCCACAAGGACTTTGTATTCTAAATGATTATTCAAAACACACACAAACACATACACAAGAACTCTGTTTTTGGTGCATGTCTTATGTTTTTAATCCTCACTAAAAAATCTTCTAGTTTAAGTCCCATAATCTCATTTTACTAAGTAGAAAATTAGCATAAAGAAAATTTAAGCAACTTGCCCCAGGCTACCCTGTCACTAAATTGCAGGATTTGATTTGAGCCCAGATAGTTTGACTCCAGAGCCTGCAATCTTTATCATTATTATTATTATTATCATCATAATCATTGCTATTTTGTTTTTATAACCTACCAGTGCCTGCAATCTTAATCACTATTCTATACTGCCTTATAAATATAAACATTGAAAAGATCAACTGTAATACAAGGTGACAGAAGTGCCACATTATGGTGAGATGCTCAGCAGTGACACAGTATGGGCTTTTGACCACAAAGTTTGGACATATAAAGACACAGAAGAATATTCTAGATCGATCGTGCAGAGAAACAGTATTACATTTTGCTTAATATCACATATATGAAAGTGTTTTATAAATATAAAAGGAATGTAATATACTAAAGAGCATATGAAATGACTTTTAAGAAAACTGAATCACACTAATGATTTGTTTTAGTAATATTTGTCTTCCTTCAGAACTCACATATTTTACCTGATTATATAAATTTTTAAATTTTACGGAATCATCTCTGAAGGGAGAAATTGTACATATTGAACCTTGTTTTATGTGTGAAAACCATTTAAGGAAATATGTTTTAATTTGATTTATATACAGTATTTTGTACCTTCTGAAAAATCTATGTTTTTGCCAATATCTGGTGATTATAAAATATACATTGAAGGGAAACGAATCACATCAGGATGTTTTAATATTTCCTGAATCTGATTCAACTTTTTTGTATAAGTGCAATATTCTGGATTAACATTATTACTCCTAAAAAAACCCACAATCAGAGCATTCATGGGAGAAATGCCATTGAATTTAACTTACCTTTAAACTCTTGAGAACCGTAAGTGAATATCCTCAGATGAAGAATCAGGGCTAAAAAATCATTAAAAGAGTAATGCTCCTGAGTGGTATAGAGCTTAATATGGGAAAGATATTGAGTTGTTGAAAGCTCAGGAAATGTTGAAAGAAGATGATGATTATTTCCCCAAGGCCTCTTCTCTGTTTACTTCTCT